AAAAAAAAAAAAATGCTATACATGTTAAGCAGTGAAAATAGTCTACCATGCTGGGCACGGTGGCATTGTAGTGATCCCATCAGCTTGGGAAGCTGAGGCAGGAGGATCATGAGTTCAAAGCCAGCCTCAGCAACTTGGTGAGACTCTGTCTCAAAATAAAAATACAAAAAAGGGCTGGGGATGTGGCTCAGTGGTTGAGTGCCACCTCCCAACCCCAYCGTCCCCAAATAGGTCACCATATGTGTTGATTTCAAAATAATCATCTGGTTTTCTAGTGTGAAGTATTGAATAAGGGAAGGAGATTGAGAATAATATTTAATCCAAATGAAAGACATAAGTTACTTTAATAAATAAAACATTTACAAGTAATTCATTGAGACAGTTAAAGCCTCTCCAGGTGCTTCCATCCTTATCTTCACCTTTAAAGTACTATAAGCTATTGGATCTACAAATTGCTGTGGGATTATTTTTAAGMCCTTATAGTTACTTTCTGGGTTTTGGTGTTAATGGCAAAGAGGATTTGCATAGTACCTTCTAGCTCTTGGGTTGGACAGTGAATCCAAATTCAGGTGGGACTGAATTCATGTAAAATTCTCAGAGCATTTGTGTGGGTATTGTTTTCAGGTAATGATCTGTTAGTAGTGCTGTGCTGGAATTCAGAGTATATGAAGAAAATTAAAAGGGCCATAATTAATGGGTTACATTTATGTTTTCCTTCTTTTCTTCCAGTTAAAGGCATTAGGATTTCCTGAAGGACTTGTGATACAAGCATATTTTGCTTGTGAGAAGAATGAGAATTTGGCTGCCAATTTTCTTCTACAGCAGAACTTTGATGAAGATTGAAAGGGACTTTTTTGTATCTCATACTTCACACCAGTGCATTACACTAACTTTGTTCACTGGATTGTCTGGGATGACTTGGGCTCATATCCACAGTACTTGGTATATGGTAGTAGATTGTTGGGGTGGGGAGGGCGGGATCTAGATTATTGGGCAGGGATAAATACAGTGCATGTCTGCTTCTGTTAGCAGATGCCGCAAATCCACACAGTGTGTAAAATATTATACAACCAAAAATCAGCTTTTGCAGGTCATTATTTCTTCTATAAAACATAGGTACCTTTTCCTAGGTTTCACTCTTTTTAGTGTACTAGATCCAGAAATTTAGTGTAATGCCCTGCTTTATATTTCTTTGACCTAATATTGGTTTCTGAAAGGATCTTTGCTACCTAGAATTTACAGTCTCTGTTTCATGGCAACACTGGATAATGCTTTTTAAAATTTAAAATAATTTTGGAGCAACTGTAAACAGAAATGCCAAATTATTGATGGTTATTGTTGCTGCTTCACATAAAGTATAAAATTAATGTGTAAGGAAGCCCATTCTTTCATCTTAAATACTTGGGGTGGGGGAGGGAAGAGGGGAACTTTTTCTTAAATTGAAAATAATTACTGCTATTTTAAAATTTCTTGATCATTGAATGTGAGACCCTTCAAACATGATTTGAGAAGCTGTACAAGTATAGGCAGAGTTATTTTCCTGTTTACATTTTTTTTGTTTGTTTTGGGGAGAAATTAGTAGGTGTCTAATTACTGTTTACTTCATTGTTATATTGCAGTAAAAAATTTAAAACCACCATTGCATGTTTGCTTTTGATGTATCCCTTTGTGAAATTAGCACTTTTGGGGCCAATGGAGAAATGCAGCATTCACTCTTCCCCCTTTCCTCAGCAAAAATGTGCTTATCAGCAAGTCGTAAGTCAAACCTGCTGTCTTTTTAAAACCCACAAAATGCTGAATCAGTTCAAAAATAATGCAAATGTTTCAAAACTGGGTTTCTGATATTTGTAAATGTTTTTCCTTATTAGATAAGAATATATTACCATTAAGGTCATTAGTATTATATTGTTTTCAAAAAGAGGAGATGGACAGAACTATAACCCAGCATCTTTTACTGAGAAAGTCTCTTGGAAGGGTTGGGAAACGTGTCTGGAAAAGTACTTTGGAAAATATACAATCAAGATAACTCATGGCATATTAAAAGAAAAACCTTGATAGCAGTGTTGGCTTTTATTTGGAATTTTTTTCATCTCAATTTTTTCTTTGGAATCTCTTTCATTGACATTGATATTTGATCAGAAAGAGGGGCAGATGTCTACTTGTTCAGTTTATCAAATCTATTTTCCTGACTATAAACAAGACTATTTAAAGAAATAATATTTTTCCTACCATCTGAAAGTAAGAAGATGAATTTGCACAGACTTCTCCCTGCGTAATCCCATGCAATTCCTTAGCACAGTTTGGTGATGACTCTCTTAAGCTCTTACGTCATGCACTCAACCTGTCTTTATGAAAATAAACGAAACCATGATTTTCCTTCACAATGTACCATGTTTAACTATCCTGTGTTTATTCCATAAACATGATAGGCTTTTGGACTTTGTATTATCTGTATGTTTTATAATGGATCATGCATAATGTCTCAGGAGAATAAAATAGAAGATTCATAAATATGTTTATCTTTCAAAGACGAACAATAAGTTGGAAGAGGGGTGGCATTTCTGGTTGGAGAATGGAATACTGTCGCTTTTTTAGGACACTCTGCTACCTTGTTGCTCAAAGCATAGTAAAAACTGGCAACGGGGAAAAACAGCAGCCGCTTCTTTCCTCTGGAAAGTGACAGCAGAAGTTGAAGGCACGGAGCTTTTATCCTTGGACAACCACAGATAGTAGGATTAATTACCGGAAGACAGCTCAGGCCAAGATTTGGCCATTCCTTACATTACTTGTTTATCTGCTTCTTAAAGAATCAGCTGAAACACCATAAATGAAATAGGCTTTTTGTGCCTTTTGCTCTTATTGTTTAATTTACAAATAGTTTTGATAAATCTCTAAATGTAAGTGGCTATTTGATTTTGAAATTTTGCATTTGAGGTATGTTGTCAACTATTTCTTGAATACGTCTATTTTGTTTAGCTGCTTTATGGAAAATGTGAGGAAGTCTTAAGTTTATATTTGTAAAATTATTTTGCCATCCTCTGATCAAATATTTCATTGTTTAAAAATAATGAAGTTTTTCATCATGATTTTTTTTCCTGTACCAGATGGCTAGGATTCTAGAGAATTAATTATAAAGTATTTTCAATACATACAACATTGCATTTCTCATTTTTTAAATGATTCTCATAGAATCTTAGATTGAAAGTTGACAATACCTCTGTCACCGATACTTATATTTTATTCAGTAGTTGGTGAATATAACATATAGGTGGCCATGCATGATGTTATTGGGTCTCCTGATTATTTTCTCAACCAACGCATCAACAAAGAGATGGAATGCTTGGTGGGAATGTAAGCCAAGATGCGTGAAGGCTGCTAGAGACTTATAGAATCCCCTTCTTTTCCATACTGAGAGTAGCAAACCTAAGGCTGCTGTAAAACGATGAGCTAAATTTCCAAGAATGAGTAATTTCTTACCAAATCTCTTCTATTGGCTTCCCTGATTATRAGGTTTGGGCATATGTCCTTTCATTTGTCTTCTGTCCATTTTCCATTTTGTTGTTCTAAGCCAGAGAGACTGGCCAACTATAGCCACATGAGCCAGCTCTGATTTACCACCTGTCGTACAGTCTGAGCTAGGAATGTGTGTTTTTTTTTAAATGGTGTTGAAAAGATAATTTTTATTACATGAAAATTTATGATTCAGTCTCAAGTGTCTATATTGAACCAATTATGCTCATTTGTTTACTTTTTGTCTATAGCTACTTTCATGCTACAAAGGTTTGCTATTGAATACTTGAAACAGAGACTCTGTCCTGCAAAACCCAAATATAATTCCTAGCTGTCCCATTACAGAAAGCTTGCCAGCCCCGTTCTGAACATTGAATGATGTTTTTTATTCCTTTCTTGGCTTTCTTAGACTCCTGACTTCAGGTCTTTGCTTTAGTTTTATTTCCTTGTGACCATCACAACTTCCCAGAGACACTGCATCAGCCCCAGCATCTCCATTCAGGAGGAGCCCCTGCCTGTTGTGCTAGCTTCCTGGTGTCTGTCTGAGTGACTACTTTGAGATTACTCTTCACCATTGCGATCTACTTCTAGTTCTTACAGTAAGAGAGTGACATTCAGTACTGAGCATACTGTCAGAAGCACCTGGCACACTGAAGAAGTTGTATGTATGCTTGTGGGAATCCATGGCCCCAGAATCGACCACAGYGGGAGAAGAATGGGTGGAGCCCTGGAGGGAGGAGTACAACATTGGGTCTGTTTGGATGGCAGGTCATTGTGAGGACTGTGGGTATAGTTGGAGGATAGGAAGGGCAATGACCAGAAGTCAGGGAACAAAAGCTTGGATTTGATGGGAAGAAGCATGTCATTAATGCAAGGATAGTAATAAAGAATGAAAAAAATGTAAAGTAAGACTTGGAAACAGTGGTCTTGTTAATAGGGTTTTTGCCACAGAGGGGACTGGGAGGATGAAAAAGTGACCCTAGAGTGGTCTTTTCCACTGTGCAGAGGACTAACACTAACAGGCCATTTTAATAGTTATGGATCCTCTTTAACAGGTATAACCCTGCCTTCCAGGTGCACAAATTAGAGTTCATCCCAGACCTCAGCCACAATCTCAAACTTGAGTTTTCATTCTCATTATTTTGCTATAGGCTTTCTTCATCTTCCTCTTCCACAGCTGCCCAGCTTGGACTTGCTGTGGGTAGAGATGTACAGGAGTAGTGTTCTTCCCAACTCCACCTTACAGCTTTACCTGCATCCCTCAACGTGTTGTACAGGAACAGTYGCCCCTTGGTATCCATGGGGGATACCCACATCTGCAGATGACATTGTGTGTAGCCTGTGCGTATTCCCCCTGTATACTTAAAACCATCTCTAGGTTATTTAACGGTACCTTATAATGTAAATGCTGTATAAACAGTCATTACACTATTTAGGGAATGGCAATCTGAACAAAGGTGCAATTTCTTTACAGAAAGTTTGTTTTGCTGCAGTTGGTTGGATCCATGGATGTGGAACCATACATACAGAGGGCCAACTACTTGCCATGGTGGAAAGATTGAGAAGCTCTAGCCTACACTTTTTTATTAGCTCTCTGGTTGGGATTTTGGATCAGATGGGTTTCTTGAGAAAAAATAATTTAAAAGGATAATTTCTAGGTAGAGGTTTGAGATTTATTGTGGAATTGGCTCACAGTTATGGAGGCCTAGAAGTCCCACAGCATGCTGTATGTGAGCTGGAGAACCACAAGACTAGTGCGATTCAGTGCAAGGCCAGAGGTCTGGAAAGGCTGGGTTGAGGGACACTGGAAAGCCAGGGAATCAGGAGTCCCAGTATCCAAGGGCTAAAGACATCTAGCTCAAGAAGGCAAACTGGCCCGATTGAATTGCCATCCTAAGATTCAAGGAATGGTCAATAAAGATACTGGGTTGGGCTGTTGACAGCTTCCACTCCATAACAAAGGTCCAGAAATGTCTCAAACTGCTTTTAAGATGAGGTGTTTGCTTGTACAATTGCAAAAGCTGTGTATTTGCACTTAATAGCAGATTAGAAGAATAATATATTGCCTTAAAATTAATTTAAAAATTGCTGAGGATATTTGGGACAATGCCTTAGAAAAGTTTAGGAGTTGATGTATTAATTGGTTGGTTTCATAAGGACAAATGATTTTTAAACTTAGATTGTAGTCTACAATATTTCATTTGAAGAAATGGAATGGACTTCTTTTTGTTTAATTAGATTTACTTCTGTTTGGCATTTTTGACTGATTTATAGTTTCTACCACTTTTTTTTTGTTTTGAGACGGTCTTTCCAAGTGGCTTAGGGCCTTACAGGTTGCCCAGGCTCACCTTGAATTTGGGGGTCCTCCTAGCTCAGCCTCCCTAGTTGCTGGGCCATCTTTACAGGAACTGCACAGAGAGCTCCATTCACCCCACTACCACCTCGGAGAGCCCTTTAGTTTTCAGTTGCTTGGCTAATGTCCTCTGCAGCAAAAGGATCTGCTCCATGAACTCACCACATGTAGTCAGTCAACACTTGGTCCCCTTTGATCCACTTTCYTCCATCTTCATGACCTTACCATTTTTTTTAATGTCAAGGCAGTTGCTGTGGAGTGCCCCTCCAGCCATCTTCAGTAGTGGTCCTCAGCCTTGGACTCAGGGTGGCACCGTGGGAAAACGCAGCAGCATTGCGGTGCTCCTCACCACGTCCTGGGAGCTGGCACAGGCAGACTGCCCCTCTGTCCTGTCACTGCTGTTCACTTGGACCACTTGAAGGTGGTGTCTGCCAGGCTTTCCTGGAATGTTAGTGTCCTTTTGTATTTAATAATTACTAGTTAATTGATAGTAATTTGATGAGATATTTTGAGCCTTTGTGCATTTTTCCCCCCTGGTATCAGTGATTGAACCCAGGGGTGCTCAATCACTGAGTCACATCCCCAGCCTTTTTTGAGACTAGGTCTTGTTAAGTTGCTTAGGGCCTCACTAACTTGCTTAGGTTGGCCTTGAACTTGTGAACCTCCTGCTTCAGCCTCCTGAGTTGCTGGGATTATAGGCATGAGCCACCAAGCCCGGCTCATATCTTTTTTCTTGTCAAAATTTTGCCCATTAATTTTAGCATTATTGATTTTCTGCATTGGTTGTTGCCCGTGATGGTTTTCAAATTCCACTTCAGGTAATGATATTCCGTATCTTTGCATTCTTTTTCCTCAGTTTATTTGTAATGAGTGGACTTGGATTTCTGCTTTATTCAGTGGCATATAATATTTCACTTGTTATTTTATAGCTCATATTGGCTCAGATTCTGCCATTGTGTTTTTTCTTAACATGCCATTGCCTCTCTTAATTCCTGGGACAGTAAGATACCCCATGCTTTTCTACAACTCTGCCCTGGAATCAG